GTTGGTGTGGCATGATTCTCTAACAATGGCAAGACATGGTAAGGGGGAAGGCCTGGGTGCAGAGGCCAGTGAGGTGGAGAAACTAGTCAGAGGCATAGTTATAGATGGAAAGGCCATGCCTTCAGAGCCCTGGAAACCACCCAGCCTGTCCCGGTTCCAAAAGGTAGGGCTCTGTTTGCTCACATGATACAGATACAAGACTCGGTCTTGCAGGGGAGTCCAAGTGTTTCTCTTTCTGGCCCTCTCTGTCATGAACCCCCCCCCCCACCTATATCCCCAACCACTCTCCTCACTTTTCTGCATTTTCTTCTGCCCACAGCTCATTACAGGCGTCCAGCAGACAACAGAGAGGCATAACCAGGCCTTCATGGCTCTCGAAGGGCAGGTTATTTCTAAAAAGTTGCACGCCAACATCCGAGAGAAAGCCGGCCACTGGTTTGCCACCACCACACCCATCATTGGCAAAGGCATCATGTTTGCCATCAAAGAAGGACGGGTGACCACTGGCGTGTCGAGCATCGCCAGCGAGGACAGCCGCAAGGTGGCTTCCGTGCTGAACAATGCCTACTACCTGGACAAGATGCACTACAGCATCGAGGGCAAGGACACCCACTACTTTGTGAAGATCGGCTCAGCCGACAGCGACCTAGTCACGCTGGGCACCACCACCGGCCGCAAGGTGCTGGAAAGTGGGGTGAACGTGACCGTGTCCCAGCCCACACTGCTGGTCAATGGCAGGACTCGAAGGTTCACCAACATTGAGTTCCAGTACTCCACGCTGCTGCTCAGCATCCGCTACGGCCTCACCCCTGACACCCTAGACGAAGAGAAGGCCCGAGTTCTGGACCAGGCGAGGCAGAGGGCCCTGGGCACCGCCTGGGCCAAGGAGCAGCAGAAAGCCAGGGACGGGAGAGAGGGGAGCCGCCTGTGGACTGAGGGCGAGAAACAGCAGCTTCTGGGCACAGGACGGGTGCAAGGTTATGAGGGGTACTACGTGCTTCCTGTAGAGCAATACCCAGAGCTAGCAGACAGTAGCAGCAACATCCAGTTTTTAAGACAGAACGAGATGGGAAAGAGGTAACAAAATAATCTGCTGCCATTCCTTGTCTGGATGGCTCAGCAGGCGTAAACTGTGATCTCCTCTCCTAAGGAGATGAAGACCTAACGGGGCACTGCGGCCGGCTGCTTTAGGATAGCCAGTGGCAAGAAAGCTCACATTTTTTGAGTTCAAATGCTACTGTCCAAGCAAGAAGTCCCACATCCTGAAGTAGACTAAAGCCTGGCTGAAAATTCCAAGGAAAACAAAACAAATGAATGAACAAACACACAAAAATGTTCCAAGTTCCCCTAAAATATGACCCACTTGTTCTGGGTCTTACACGGAAAGAGAGACAAAAAAAAAAAGAAAAAAAAAAAGAAAAAGAATGCGAAATGTCCAAAAGGAACAAAAAGAACACAGCAAAACAAAACAAAACAAAACAAAAAAACCCGAAACAAAACAAAACAGCAAAGCAAACACACCGACCGACCCGGAAAACAAAGACCTGAAGACGGGAGGCCTCCGACTCCATTACCTCACTCACTGACAGGTGAGCGACGACGCAGAGACACCGAGGGCCGCGTCACAGACCAGCGAGGAAGGCGACCCAGACTTGCCGGACAAATACTTTAGACGTTTTTCGTTTAAACAAATACAGGTGCATTTAAAACTTTGGGGGTGATTTGTGTGTAGCGACTGGGGAGGGGGGGTATCAAAGTGAAAGAGTGAGCACTGGAAATACTTTTTAAAGAAAAAAAAATAAAACACAAGAAAAAAAACGCAATTCATATCAAAAATCAAAGCGAAATAATACCGTTCAGCACTTAACTTTCAGGTCCCAACTTAGTCTGGCCTGAGCTAATTTATTTGAGCGCAGAGTGTAAAATTTAATTCAAAATGGTGGCTATAATCACTACTGATAAATTTCATACTCTTTTGTCTTTGAAGATTCCATTGTGGACAGTAATACGCAGTTACAGGGTGTAGTCCGTTTAGATTCCGTAGTTCGTGGGTATCAGTTGCAGTAGAGGTGTGGCATTGTGACACTCTTGCTAACGGGCACCACTTCAGATCACCCTGTACATACATAAGCCTCAAGGCACAATCACTGTTTCAGATTTTAAATTATTAGTGTGTTTGTTTGGTCCAGAAACTGAGACAATCACATGACAGTCACCATGAGGAGAGAAAATAAAGAAAAAGAAAAAGAAAAAAAAACAAAAAAACAAACAAAAAAAAAAACAAAAAAAAAATGTCTAATAAGAACTTTGGTACAGGAACTTTTTTGTAATATACATGTATGAATTGTTCATCGAGTTTTTATATTAATTTTAATTTGCTGCTAAGCAAAGACTAGGGACAGGCAAAGATAATTTATGGCAAAGTGTTTAAATTGTTTATACATAAATAAAGTCTCTAAAACTCCTGTGGACACTGGTCTTCTGTGGAAATGCTTTGAGGTGAGGAAAAGCAAGTGTGGCTGGAGAGAGGGGCGCTGCCAAGACTCACAGGCCCAGGGGGTAGTTGAGCTTTTAGAGGTGCTTTTCTTAGACGTATTACCCTGTACTCCAAACTGCTCAAATTCCCATGTCACCCCTACTCACAATGGCACCCCTCTCTCTGGCAGCAGTGGAAGGAGAGACTGGGCTGGGATGGGGTGGGGGGGTGGCACCCGCTGGCCATCCATGCATGAATAGTTCCCTTCCAGGTCTCCTGGCACAGCCAGGCTTCTCTCTGCTGCCACATTCTCCCTCTGGGAGCTGCTGGCAGAACAGCCCCCATCCCGGGAGACCTGTGTATGGGTGTATGTAGATTTTCTTCCAGACTAGCTCAATTTACCCCAAAACTTACACACTTGCAACAACCTAAATAAGAAGATTTATTATTTGGATGAATTTTTGTGTTTTCTTTCCTCTATTCTAACTGTAAAAACTGTAATTCTACAGTCTGAATAAAAGTATGATTATTAATAAGTAATACTCATTGGTGCTTAGCATGTGCTAGGAAAAGCGGTAAGTGCTCTGCACCCAATGTTTTATTTTAATCCTCATCCTTTATTCAGTCAACATTTCACTGAAAGCTTTTTGGGTGCTTGGTCCTGTGCTAAGTTCTGAGGGTAAAGGAAGTAACCACAAACATGGGCCTCTGCCTCATAAAACATAGTCAGAGGAACAGATAGGACAATAAACCCAATAATTACAGCTGATCCTGAAACAACGCAGTTAGGGGCATTGACCCCTGCACGTTGAAAATCTGAGTAACTTATAGTCAGGTTCTGCATCGCAGTTGGTTGAATCCATGAATGTGGAAATTGTGAACAGAAAAAAACTCACATGTAAGTCGACCCATGTGGTTCAAATAGTGAAAATGACAGTGGTTTAAATGCCAAGACTGATGCATGTATGAAGTCATGCAAACACACATTTGGGCTGGGACCTAGACTAAGAATGTCACAAACATTGCTGATACTGAAAGTTAAGTAGCAGTTAAACAGGTGAAGAGAAGGAAGTGCATTCCAGTCTAGGCAACAGTGTGTGCAAAGGCACTGTGGAAAGACTGGTAAACTGGAACAAAGCTCAGAAGAGGATAGAGCACACAGACTGAAGGCTAGCAATGTTTATCTTTTTTTACATTAAAAATGAGGGTATTGTTAAAATTTCATAAGCAAGGGCTAGGGATGCAGTGTGAACAGTGGGGGGTTGATGTGGTCGTGTGCAGGAGCTGAAAGAACAGATGGATGAGCAGCAACCTGAGATGAAGCTACTTTGAACTACAGAGGAGAAAATGGAAGCAACTTGAGTGGATAGATGACAAGGATGAACTCCTGGTAGCAGTAACTTCAGGTGAGGCCAATTATCAAGCAGCCATTAGTATTAGAAACAGGTTCAAACCCAGAGAGGGCTGATTTCAAACCACCTCCAGGAAGCCAGGAAGCCTGCGTGGTGTCACCCAGGGACCCTCGTGTGCCCTGCATTACCCGTCTTCCCCACCAGCCGACCTGGCAGGGGCGGTTCCCAAGGTGGAAGGCAAGGGAGAGAAAAGCAGGGCTGGCCTGTTTTAACCCAGGCATCAGCCCTCCTGAGTGCTATTGACATGACCAACAGAAGGAGCTCTAATTTAGTAAAGCAAACAGAAAAAAACCTTCAAGAGCTTCCTTCTCGGATGCACCTGTGAACACCCTTGTTTTCCCCTCCCCCACCCCAAGTGCAGTAAATTTGACCTGTTTCCCTCCAAAAGGGGGATAAGCAGGCAGCAAATCCTCCTCTGGTGTGATTTTGGTCTACCTCCCTGCTTTAATTCTGCTGGTGTCAGCACCCTGCGGATAAAGACTTACACCGTATCTCCAGCTGGCCCTGAGGCCAACTGAGTCCTGGATTTTGGAAGCTGTCAGGGATTCACTCATCTGTGGTGTCTCTCTGGGGAAGATGCAGCTAGTGGGGCCAAGAAGACAGGGAGCTGATCTCACGCAAGACGCCACTGAGGAGCATGCTCAGAGCATGGCAGATGTACCCCTGGGTGAGTACATAGTGTGGCACACGGGAAATCACATCACCGGAATTTACTAGGACCTGAAACTCTCCTCTCTTGAGTCAACCATTTTTGAGTCACCCATGAGTTTCCTATTACACTCAGGCCAGCCTGTAATACACAACATCCCATAATATGGGAACAGGAGATAAGCTTAAGTAAAAATTCTCTACTGCCTTTCCCCAGGCAAGTCCCAAAATGACCAGTGAAATGTTTGATCTCTCTCAGAAGTAGCTGCACATTGATAGAGAAATCTGGAAGGACAGGGAAGAAAATGAAGTCTGAAGTCAATCTGCCTGGGAGCAAATCCTAACTGGACCACTCACTCCACATGGGAACTTGAGACGGTCCATGTATTAATTCAAATCAATAGCACTCACTGCTTTAGGAGAGAAATCCCATATAAGTCAACACAAAAAAGTTGAATTCTCACTCAGCATCCACTGTCGGTCAGGTGTGGGCGTGGCTCCGTCCTCCACAGTCACTGGACATCCCAGCTCCCTCAGTCTTGTAGCTCAGCCTTTTTCTCGGTCCTCAGAAGTCCTCTCCATGTATCTGGGTGATGGACAAAGAGCTCTCAGATCACATGTGTAACTAGTGGCCACACCTGGAAATGATATCGCTCACCTACCCTCTCTTTCCACCTACTTCAAAAGAGACTAGAAAATGTAGTCTGGTTAAGAATCCAGGAAGAAGGGGAGACTGATATTGGTGAGACCAAGCAGCTTTTGCCATTTAACTCGCATCTGTGAGCCTCAGTTTCCTCACCTACAGGGCTGCTGTGATGATTAAATGAGACACTGCATTTTCAGACACATGGCGAGTACTTATGTGTCTGAGTCCAGCAAATGTTTATTTTTATTATTTTAAAATTATTGTTCCAAACACAGGCTTAAGGTGGTGAGAGTGGAAACTGAGGCATCACCTATTCATCACACACACAGGGATTTTCATATAAGAGTTGGGGAAGTTAGGGGAGGGCCTTCTCTAAAATCCTATGGCAGTGAACCCCACTCTCACCCCCAGGGACGGGGAACGGTTTCTGCTGTCAGTGTGAGAGCCCCACTTCTCGGGACTTTTCCAAAGGGTGACATTTAGTGTGTGGAGGTTCTGGGAGACTGGCCACTCGGCCCAGCCACTGGAGAGCTATTGCCACTCACCATCCCTGAGCACGATGTTGTTCCTGGCATTTTCAGAAGCTGGTAAGACACAGATCAATAAGACAATCCAAAATCCACCTCCAAGTTATAAGGAGGAAGTCACAAGCCTGGACACAGTGGCTCAAAGTGACATAGGAGCACCACCCGAGCACATAAGCCCAGAGCAGAGGGCCCGGAGATCTCGGCTCTCAGTTAAGGGAAGCCAGATAGAAAAGGTGGCTGAGGGCACTTGGCACTCAGAGAACACAGGCCGCAGGAGAGGCCAAAAAGGCTGGAGCAGCAACTGCATTGAGCACCGTTCTGACATAGTAGAATCATACAGGGAGTGTGTTAAACACACCCAGGACCTGCTGCCCGGGGTAATCAAAGCAGAATCACGGGGCCACGGGGCGGTTGGAAGCTGAAGCCTGAAGCACTGCATGGTGCCTGAAGGGGGTTGGGCAGCCTGAGCTGAGGTCTGTGGGAGATGAGGCAGAAATGGACACCAGGCTAAGTGGGGCCTTCTCCTGCAGGTAGAGAAGGGCCTCGGCAGGGTTCTTCAAGATTAGGAAATCCCTCAACTTGCAAAGTGGAGAAAAAACCGGCAGAAAGACTGGAACAGCCCAGGTGAGGGCATAGGGATGGAAGGAAAGCTCCCAGGCAGGATTAGACTTGGAGAGTGAGGAGGAGCTTCTGGAACACTCTCAGAGCTGGGAGCTGGGCCTTTACAGGGTGGGTAGGACACTAGGACAGGATCTGTCCCCAGGCAGCTTCAGGGGTCTCCCTCCAGGGGAAGCCTCAGGCCCACCAACATACCTTCAACTCACTCAGGTGAAGGGACAGGACGCCGCAGGAGAAGGGTTTGAGAAGTCTAACTGAGCCCACCTTCAGGCATCTCTGGGGCGTCCCAGCCAGGACTATCCAGGGAGTTCTGATGGACCAGGCCCACGGTCGAGACCCACCTTCAGTCCTGAGGTAGCCGGCAGCCAAGTGCTCCCTCCTAAGCCCAGAGCGGGCACGCTAGTTGTGGGGCTGTGGGGCCGCCCTCCAAGAGCCAGGCTGTACAGCACCGCGTCTTCCCCGCACTGCCTTCACCTGTGCCCAAACCCCGCCTTCCCTGCCCCCCTGCGTCCTGCTGCTAGGTGCGGGGCCGCCGCTGACCACGAGGTGGCAGCCTTTCCCCTGGAATCTTCCTGCGCAGCCTGGGCAGGTGTGGTGAAGATCTCAGCAGCCACAGACCGAAGAGATGCTTAGTCCTGGACCCTGGCAGGGGCACCTAAAAGAGGGCCCTGGAATTGGCTGATTTCTGGGAGGAAGATTCCGAAGACCTGCCCTGGGAAGGGCCAGCCTCCATTCGGAGCCCAGCTCCACCCTTTTCTCCTTGGGAGATTTCCACAGATCCCTTCACCTTCCGAGTCCCACTTGTTACACAGGAGTAAAAATACCTACTTTACAGGGTTATTTGGAAAGACTAACAAAAATTATATACGCAAACTGCTAGACAAGGGTCCAGCACTTAGTAATAATGGCAAACTACTACTAAAGGGACATGGTCTTAAAAAAAATCACTTAAAGCTCCTGCTACTTCCCTTTCTAGCTAAGTCTAAGCTCTTCACCAAACCTTGAAACCTCAGTTTCCTCCTCTCAAATGGGTACAACACGATGTCAAAGGATGGTTGTGATAGGCACCCCGTCCAGCACTGGGCACACTGTTGTTGCTGTCAGCGGTGAGGACTGAAGGAGGACTCTGATCCCCAAGTCAGCTAGACACACTCTGGGCTCTGAAGCTCAACTTCCCTTTCTAGCTAAGTCTAAGCTCTTCACCAAACCTTGAAACCTCAATTTCCTCCTCTGAAATGGGTACAACGCGATGCATAGGATGGTTGTGATAGGCACCCCGCCCAGCACCCAGCACACTGTCGTTGCTGTCAGCGGTGAGGACTGAAGGAGGACTCTGGTCCCCAAGTCAGCTAGACATGCTCTGGGCCCTGAAGCTCAACCTGTTGCGGACTAACAGGATCCAGTTCGCGTTCCACCCTCCCAGCACGCAAGCTAATAAAGCAGCTAAAGCAGTGGGATCTCCCTGGGCAAACAGGTCCCAGAGGAAGGAAGCACAGATGAAAGTCACCTGTACCACCTCAAACACCCCACCCAGGATCCATCCTGCCAGAGATGAAGCAGGAATCCTTACCTGGATGCTCAGTTACAGGGGCATGGAGGTGGGGTAACCAGCTGGCACCTTGACCAGCTCCACAGCAGGTCCCACAGAATCAAATCTCCTTGAGCCCCTCCCCACCCAGCGTTGGTGCTCATGGGGGAGGCCACCCTCCTAGAGCACTCCCCTCCCTGCTCACCTTCCAGTGGTCCCCTTCACCCTCTGAACCCTATTCCACTGGAAGCAAAAATGATCTCCTCCTCCTTATGCTTTCACAAAGCCCTTTCACCCGCATTAATTGACCTTGTTTGAATTTCCCAACTGCTCATCCAGACGATGCAAACTGAGGCTGAGAGAAGTCAAGGAAGTGACAGAATAACAGCCCACTCCACCCTGGGTAGCTGGAAGCTACTTTTCCTCTCGGTCTACTATCCCATTTTTTTTTTCCATTTTCATTTGTCACTCCCTGGACAATCCCTTACCACACTGTTATCTCAGCCAAATACGGGCAGATCTTATTCCAAGGCAGGAGCCACCCCAGACAGAAGGAATCTGCTCCATTGACTCAGTCAATCACGTGAACATCTATCCTGCAGGAGACAGGGAGGGGGTGCGGTGGGGGGAGACATGGAGAAGAACATGGACTGGCTTCTGCCCCCAGGCTGCATCACTATCCGGATCTTTCTCCACTTATACCCCAATCACCCCATTGTCAATTGAAAATACCCTTCTGAGAAGATGGAAGGAACATGGGAATTACAGCAAATCCTGGACTACTAGAGTGATGGGAAGGGTGGGGGTCAGATGAGGAGAGAGGAGGCCCAAGGTCTAGGCTAAATTACTATCGGTGCTGGGCCTCCCCGGTGGCGCAGCAGTTGAGCACTGGGTTGCGAAGCTGCCCGCGATCTCTGCGGTGCCAGTTCGATCCCCGGCTGCTCCCCGGCCACCGGAGGAGGGTCCCACATGGCGCGCAGACCTCTCCTGCCGCCCGCTGCTCCCCTCAGCAGTGTACTTCGGTCCTTCTGCCTGCTCTGCTCCCCGCTCTGGCTCTGGTGAATTCTCTCACCCTCCCTCGCTTCTGACTGTACGCAGTGCATGTATAAACAAAACAAACAAACAAATAAATAAATAACATGCCTCTATAAAAAAAAAAAAATTACTATCGGTGCTTTGATGGTGAGGTAGGGTAGAAACATACTTTGGAGGGATGTGAGTTTATTCCCCTAAACCATAAGCAGTGCTGCAGAGCAATACTATCTCAATAAAGAAAAAAAAAATAAGTGAAAAACAGAAATTAAAAAAAAAAAAAGAAAGAAAGAAAAGAAAATACCCTGAGTGGGAAATGCATTTATTGCACCTCAACTCCCAACATCCTAGCTTAGCCTCACCTACCTGAAACTGCTCAAAACACAAGATCCTACAGCTAGAAAAAGTCACCTACCACAATGCCTATTTTATAATAAAGTGCTGAATGGCTCCTGTCATTTATTGGATGTCCTGGTGTGGCTGACAGTGAGCTGTGCTCCCTCACACCATCCAGCACCCCAAGAGAGGACTGCACCACCGATCCCTAGCCCCAGAAAAGATGGAATTTCAAAATTCAAAGCAGGGTTTTACTGAATGTGTATCACTTTTATCCCATCCAAAATCAAAAAGTTGTTAGTTGAACTAACAATTGGGGACTGACTGTGTCAACCAGTGGTAAGTGACAGAATCCCAACTCAAAGTAAAAGCTGGAGAACCCAAAGCCATGGCTGACTTCAGGCACAGTTGGATCCAGTAGTTTCAGTTCAGCTTCCCTTGGGATGTGTGGCCTTATTCCCGGGTAGGCTGTCTCCACCAAGAAGACTAACAGCCCCAAACCTATATCCTTGTGACACTGGTAGAAATGACAGTAACCCTCTCTCCGGCTCACAGAAGATCTTGAATTGGACCCAAACCTATGAGCCCTGTTGGGCCATAAAGATGGGGGAAAGGTGATGCCCAGGGAAGATGGCTGCCTAGACAAAAATGTGTTAGCTGCAGATTTATTTATCTACTGAAATCAGCTTTGTGCATTCCAGCAAAGGTGTTCACTAGACAAAGCCAAGTGCTGGGGACACAAAAATGACTAAAACCCAGCCATCCAGAAGCAGTCCAAAGCAAACAGACAACTGCAACACCAGCTAGAGGTGGGGGGCCTGATGGGGCAAGCTCATTCAGCTCTGGTGGGGGCTTAGAAGAAAAGACATAGATGTGTGCATCAACAGCACATTGGGAAGGCCTGGGTCCAACCTTGACAGCCAACAAGGCACTCAGCCCCTTAGGGTGCCCACCTCCTGCAGACACCTTGGACATTCCCCTCCTCTGAGAAGGCAGGAAGCCTCTCTCTAGCCCCAATCTGGAGACCCTGTCCCTGGGCAGATGGCATGGGGGAAGTCAGCATTACCCTATTTCATTCAGAGCCCCAATCCCTTCCTCCACACATGGGGAGCAGGACTTCTCCACACGGTCAACCACTTTGTAAGCACAGGTCATTCTGCCCTGCAGGCCAGCCTGTGTTCTAGTGCAGGGTTTTGCCATCCGGGCACCATTACTGTTTAGGGTGGGTGACTTGGGGAAGGGCAGAAAGGGAACTGTCCTGTGCATTATAAGATCATCAGCAGCATCCCCCCTTCTAACCCCTGGCCCAGTTGTGAAAGCCTGAAAGTTTCCAGACATTGCCAAATGTCCTCTGAAGAGGGAAAATTGCCCTCCATTGAGAATCACCATTCTAGCACATTCACTCCCCATTTCCTCCTCATTTCTCCCCAACTGCAGATCCCTGCCTTTGAAAGGAAAAGTGTCTGTCTTGGGGTGAGGACGGTTCATTCTCCCTAAAGTGACCTTTATCAGCACTTGTCTATATTTATCCAAGGGACATACTCAACCCAGGGGCTCTGGAACTTAGGACTGTGTCTCCACCCTGATTCTCCTCTTCTTTGGACTCCAACACCCAGGAGCTTCTCAGAAACTGGATTCATGAGCTAAGTGTGGAGGAGAGATGCATTCCTCTCTGGCACTACCCCGGCCCTCCCATGACTCCCTCCCAGGCCTCCTGAGGGACCATCCAACACCCCTAAGACAGAATAGCTGCAGGTTCCATGCAGTGAGGAACAGTCATGGCTGTACCAGGGGGAGTGTCAAAGCAATCCAAAGGAGAGAAAGACAGCAGAGAGGAGGCTGGGGACCTCTGGGGCCTATCCCAGGAGTTGGGGGAGGGGTGCTATGCTGAGATGACAGTGTAATTTTTTATTTCCCCCCATCCTATCCCATACCAGGGGTCACACAGCTCTTGCAACGGAGTACTTAATGGTGGCTGATGACCCCTAAATAATGTTCTCTGGGTAGGGCTTGGGGTGCAGCCATCGAATCGATCTATAGCATTTCTAGAAAGTGTGAGCTGATGTCCATCAGCCCCCAACAGTAAGGCGTGAGGGCTGCTTGGAGGAAGCAGTGTTCTTCCCCAGAGCACCTATCTGCCATATTCTTTTCCTTCCTTCTTTTACTCTCAGGACATCCACTGGCTGACCTTTGGGGTTTCACAGCACTGTAAGATGCATTGAGCTTCCTCAGGACATTGGCATGGGGGTAAGGAGAAAGGACTGACCAGGGAGAGGGAGCCCAGGAATGTACTGCAGATGGGGTTTTGAGGGTAGGGTGTAAACCCAGGGTCTGCATCAAGTGCTACGTCCTGCAGAACACAGAACTGCAATCACATTGTGTGTTCCCCTCTGTGTAGAGCAGCACATGGGATATGCCTGGGTAAGTACCGGAGTGTGGTGTGTGCGTGCAGTCACGATATTCAGTGTCGGCTACCTGGAGGAAGAGCACGAAAGTGTGTGTGCATGAAACACATTGCAAGGGCCACAGGTAATGTCTAGTGCAGGCTTCAAGGTGATAGGATGAGCTACATAGGTCGAGAAGGAGTATATATAGGAGATGCAGGAAGCATGGGCTGGAGGTGTTCACATTTACTCCTCACCCCTCTCCCCCAGCACACACACCCCACGCTTCTCCCTGGACAAAGGAGAGGCACGAGTCAGGGTAGAATATTACTCAGTATGTGACACGTACTACATATAAAAAAGCACAACAGCGTGTCCTTCCTCCTTTGACCTCATAGGTCAAGTCATGTGACAGCCTAACTCCCGAGAGGATATATAGGGCATGTAGTTCTTAGCATGAGTTTTGGAATCAATGATTTGAGTTTGAACCCTGCTATCCCACCTGCTTGCTATGAGTCTTGGACGCCTCTGAAACCTCCCTGAGACTAACTTCTTTATTTGTAAAATGGGGGGAAATGAGACCCCACGTCTGGTGTGGCGGTTCTGAGCATTCGGTGAGACCCAGGGGAGTGAAGCGTTTGCAGAGATGGCACAGTCCTAACTGCTAGCTGCATGCTGAGTGGGATCGCTGAGTGTCACCTCTCCGTCCTGCAGGACAGAGAGCCTGGGCTTGGCAAAGGCAGCCTGTCCTGGGGTAGGAAAGCCTACAGGAGGAACTGCTCAACAAAAGCAGTGATGATAAAGTGATGATAAAATTAAAGAACAGCTTCCAACCAAAGAACATTGCTGGGGGACGGGGTCAGAATGGGCCAAATATGAAACCAAGGGTAGACTGAGAAGTCGTGCATTAAAACTCACAAACTCAAAGTTGGCTGCGTCAAACCTAGCCAGTAAAAGGTTCTGTGAGGGAATTTACATGTATCCAGATGTTCTCCAACAATAGCACTTATGAGAATCTTGAGGGTATAATCCCTCAGCTTTCTCAGCAAAAACCCAAAGTAGAAATAAGATTCCATTGAAAAGCTTTGTAATGTGGCTTTTATGTAATGATAAAACTCAACTAGATTCACAGAAAATCAGCAATATTTTCTAAAGAATTATACATTCAGAAACATTACCACCTTGGCCTGAAGAGACAGAAACAGTACAAAATGAAAAGTGACCTTTGCTCTAAAAATTGTACTATAAAGAAGCAGGCTGAAAAAAACTACTCAGCTGCAATGAAATAATAGAGGAAAATTCCCCAAATCTGGAGAAGAAACTAAATATATAAATCCATGAAGTTAAAATACTTGCTATCTTTCATGGCAAAAAAAAAAAAAAAAAGGATTATTCAGAGAAAGGCATGGAGAACTATGAAGAATTATTCCCAGGCCTAGAGACCTAGTCAAAAAGTTTGTAACACATACTGACTGAATCATAACTGCTCGGAACAGTCACTGCATTTCCCCCATTTTTGTTTAGTTTAGTTTTTTTTTTTTGTTCAGAAACATCTCTAGCAGGTACCCTGTACCTCTCCTGTCACTGTTTACTGGGTTTTTGGAGAGGGACAGATCATTGTCTCTTTAGTTCACAAATGTACAGCCCAAGAGGAACTATACTTGAGTTACCTCACCCAAGAAAATATACCCAAGGACCTTTATCCACAGGTAAACCTTATTCAAATGTCTTCATTGTACTGGAGCTTAAAATCCAATCAATTCAAAAGCAAAGTGGTAACAGCTGTGATAGTGGTGCTCTATCAGTGGAAAAGAGAGGGTCAGTTTCATTTTGGTCTGTTTCCTCAGTTCTCTCAGCTGGAGCAATGCTCTCTCTGGAGCATTCCTTTCCATACCCTTGTCTTCTCCAGGTAGATCCTCCTGTGGCATGTGGAAACCATACTCAAGAAGCCTTTTCCCAAGGACAGGACCTGAGTTCCCACCAAGTCCCTATAGATCCTGACCAGTGTAGGCCTCAGAGACAGCAGGGCCCAGGTGCCTGACCTGCCACGGCCCAGGAAAGCACTGGGCAGCAGGGTCTGTGGTTTGTGCCACCTTAGGAAGGGCAGGTGATATCTGGAGGGCGGCTTCCCTGGTCGGTGGCAAGGGGAGACAGAGAGTGGCCAGGGCTAGAGCATAAGGGCTGAGAAAGCTTCCCTTTCAAATCATCTATTCTCCAGCCCCCTCAGTCTGATTTTGCTAAGGAAGTTTACATTCCTCTTGCTGAGGTTCGGGGCCTTGGCAGGCCTGGGTCAACTCCTAGAGCTCCTGGAGACTGCCTATGCCCCCAGGGCACCAGGCCTTCTAGACAGGGGGCGCCTCAAGGAACTGCACCAACTGTCCTCTTGCCAACAGGCCCGGGCCAGCTCTGTCCAGTCAAAGGCCTGCTGGAGCAGATCCTGGTTTGGCACACACGGAGGCGTCAACGCCCCAGCCACCACCCCCGCTACTGTACCTTGACGTCAGGACTGAAAAGTGAGCTTTTCCAGGCCCTTTGCTGCTGGAAGAGGAGACAAGGAGTCGCGGAGCCCTGGAGGTGGCCTCAGGTGTAACACATCTGTGGGCTCCCCACCGCACGACCCTCCCCTTTGCGTTCCTGGCAGTGCAGGTTCCTACCTCCTTCGGGTTGGGCTCGCTCTGGGAAGTGCACTTTCTTCTGGGCCTTCTCCACTGTCCTCTGAGATTCCTCTGGACCCAGGGCATCCCTGTTCATCCCTTACTTCATTTGCAACCAGTTCTTGACTGTGGTGCGTGGAGGTCATATTCCGGGAACATTTTCCCAAGCTGTGGGAGCTGGGGTCGTGCCAGTCCAGCGCGACCCCGAGGAGTTGTGAGACTCGGAGAAGGCAGGATCAGGATGCCTGACCTGACATGGCTGAGGGTGGCACTGGGAATGTCAGGGACTGTGGTTGTGTGAGTTTAGAGGTTTCGGCTCCCTGTCTGTGGAAAGGGGAGACCTAAAAGAGTGACTGAGGTCAGGGTGGGAGGGGAGCAAAAGCCAACAGGCCCCTTACTCCCAGGTAGGTGCCTATTCAGGTCACCTCCATCCCTGCAGTCCTTAAGTGTCTGATGCTGGGAAGGAAGAGCGAGTTCATGTTATTGAGGCTTAGGATCTCCTGTGTCCAGGGTGCCAAAGTTGGGGAGATCCAAGGGCTGCGTATGTGCTGTCTGCTCCCCCAACTGGCCTGCCTTTCACAGCCTTAGAGGACAAGCGTTTTCATTCCAGTGGGAACTTGCATCAAATGTATTCTAGAAAACTCAATGTATTCTAAAAAAACAAGACTTTTCTTTATTGGCCAGACACATAACTCTGAAAATGATGACAGAGAAGGAAAGGGGATGGACAAACTCTAGTTTCTTTTCTTTTTAGTCCATTCTTGGCCACCAATAAGCTGAAGGTAGAGAATGGTCATAGACCATGATCACAATGAGAAGTGAAATAAAACAGCAGTTATTTCTGTGCATTGTTTCTAATCTTTGGTAAAAATTAAATAGATGTGAATATAAAGTGCATGAAATAGAAATTTTGTCATTTTGATAATTCTATGTACTAGTTAAATGACTTTATATTTCCATTTAAAACTATCCTAACCATAAAGAATTGAGATTTTTTTGACTGGAACATTATGTTTATATAGAGGATGTCAGATTGGAAATATTTCTATCATGCAGGAAGATACAACAGATATTTAATTCATAAATGAGATGCCAGATTGTAAATTTTCAAATAAAATTATAAGAACCAGTTTTGTGCCTTTGAAAAATCTTCCCGGTTCCACTTCTGGCTTCACAGTGTACAATTAAGAATCATTCCTCAACAAAACAGAGGAAAATTATTTTTTTTAACCGTCACCAGTGGGCATATAGAAATGGAAGTGGATCTATGAGCATACAGAAAATGAGGAAACATATGCTCAAGAATATTTACTAAAACTAAAAAAAAGGAAAAAATCTGTAGTAGCCTGTGGTATTTGAACAAAGACCCACATTCCTCCTCCCTACTCCCAGCTCAGTGAGATGGGAACTCCACTCCAGCCTCCACAGCTCCCAGTTGGAGGGCTATCTTCCTGGGAGGGATAAGACAATACCATTTCTCAAGCTATCCCCAGGCATTTCCAGGCAAGTCCAGTCAAGAGGTGGGGAATCACCAACCCCCCACTGGGACACAGGTTCTACCTTGCACTGACAGCAACAATGTGTTATCTATAGAGAGGGGAAGTTCCAGGTTCCCTCCCGGGTTCCACCCTCCCAAGGAAGGGTGGAGCTGAGCAACTCAGAGAAGCTAGCAAAGACTGGGGAAAGGGAAGGAAACAGATTGAGCAACAGAAAACCTGGAAGAGGCACGTGGATCAGAGACATGTGAAAGTGAAGAAGAAGCTGTGCTTGCTTCTCACTCTTGGACTTATACCAGAGACTTGGGGGACATGGAAGTGTTAGGGGGAAAGGATGTCCTGAGATAATCCCATACAGGCTTTGTGGACCCCACCCCCACTCCAGACTAAAGCCATCAAGACATTGGGAAAGACAAATCCCATCACCACCAAGGGAGGGTGGCTGGGACTTGAGGGTGGAGTTGGGCAGCCAGGTTGGATATAAAAACCAAACACGTGGGCCTTGGGGCCTCTGGCTCGCTATCGCTCGCCTCCTGGCTTCATGGCTCCTGGCTGGCGGCCAGCTCTCGGAGTGCCATTTTGGGATTCCTGATCGGCGGATCGGGTAGGACTCATTTAAAACTTTGTCTCCCACTTTTCTCCCTGAGCTGTACATTTCCTCATTTCCCCTTCCCTTGTAAATAAACCTTTTATTAACCTTTCACGTGTGCCTGCAGTAGAGCATTGATAAGTCCTTTTAAGCACGCGGGTGAGGACCCAGTCAGGCACCCCGTTTTGTATCGGGGTTGCTCTACAACAGAAGGAGACACTTGAAGGAGACAGAGAAGTAGGTGAGAGACCCATGGGGAGGCTGGGTTGATTTTAATTTTGCTCTTTTCCTTCCAGACTTGCCTGGCCCCTTCTACCCCTTTCCTCTGGTTCCCTACCAGAAGGTGCTTTAGACTTGTGGCAAGTTTTGGGCCTCAGTTATCCTGCTGATTGGCCCAAATAGGGTCCGTGTTTTGCCTTGTTCCTTTGTATTCCATATATTGATATGAGTGAAATCATTCAGTATTTGTCTTTTTCCTTCTGACTTATTTTGCTTAGCGTAATACCCTCCAGCTCCATCCTTCTGATTGCAAATGGCAAGATTTCATCTTTTTTCATAGTTGAGCAGTATTCCATTATATACGTATATAATCTTCATCGCAGCTTCTTTACCCACTCATGTGTGATTGGGCACTTAGGTTGTTTCCATAACTTAGCTATTGCAAACAGTGCTGCAATGAATAGGAGTATACATATGCATCTTTAAGTTAGTGTCTTTATATTCCTGAGATGGCTACCTAGAAGTGGAACTCCTGGATAATGTGAGAAGTCTATTTTTAATATCTTGGAAAACTTCCACACTATTTCCAATAAGGGTTTGATCAGTCTGTATTACCACCAACAGTTTATGGGTATCCCACAGCTCGTTTATCCATTCATCTATGATTGGCAATGGACTGTTTCTACCCTTGGGTTATAATGAAGCTGCCATGAACATTAATGTACAGGCTTTGTGCAGCCATATGTTTTCAATTCTCTTGATTATATTCTTAGGAATAGAATTTCTGGGTTACATTCATTCAACATTTTGAGAAATTGCCTGTTTTCCAAAGTGATTATACTATTTACAATCCCACCAGCTATAAGGTTTCTAATATGTCCACATTCTCACTGAGACTAGTCATAGTCTTTTTATGTTAATCACCTAATGAGTTTTGAAAGCAGTATCACCTTGTGGTTTTAATTTTTTATTTCCCCTATGCTAATGATGTCAGGTAGCTTTCATGAGCTTATTATCCCTGTGTATGCCTTTTTTTTAAAGAAACATTGATTTAAATACCCTCCCCATTTTAATTTTAGGTTATTTCTCTTTTTATTGTTGAATTGTGTTTATATATATTCTAGATATAAGTCCTTATCAGATATATGATTTGCAAATGTTTTCTAAATTCCTATGGATTACCTTTCCACTTTCCAACATTAATATTTAATTAATGCTGTCCTCTTTTTATTTAAAATAAATGAGAAAAAAACTCAAAGTTTTTACAAATGTGTAGACACAAATGCTCTGAAGGTCAGAAATACAAAGCATACAAATGAGACTTGGCATTTGAATGCAGATAATGTTATCCTCAATGCCATAGCATCAAATCTTTATTTGCAACATAGCAAAATATCTCTAATAGTTATATCCTACTTCTAAAATCCAGGACACCTGAACTCAAATCAGTATCTGCCTTCAACAACAAAATTAACTAGGAATTGTTGCACTATGAATATCTCCAGTAGAGAGCACTAATGTTTTTTGAATATTTTGTGTCAGTACCTTGAAAGCTAGGAAAGGATTCAGAAGCCATTACCACCCTTTTCCTGGGAACAGAAACCACAAGGGCATTTGTTCCACATTCACTAATAGTTTATTGAGCTCCTGCTAGCTCTGGGCACCATACTAGGCCTTGGGATACTGAAGAGGAAAAGATACACTTCTTATCCTCAAGGAATTTAGAATCTAGTAAAGAAGCTTGCCTCAGTTTCCCCATAGTCGCTTCTTCCATCAGTCAAGAAAAACTTTAACTAACCATACACTTTCCTATCTCTAGTCTCTCTCTCTCTCTCTCTCTCACACACACACACACTAACTGCTTGTTCAAAAACAGTAAGTTTAAAAACAGAGGGCTTTCAAGATATTCTAGTTAAGCCTCTCATTTTATGCAGGAAATTCTAAACCCAGAGTCAGAGACTCACTTACTCAAGATAATGGTAAGAGCTAAGATACTGTGGGACTTACTTGGTAGCTAGAAATAGGTGGCTAGAACTACCCATGTAATTCATATAATCCTCATGACAGCCCATTTTTTCAAATAGAAAACTAGGGTAGAGAAATTAAGTGATGATAAATGTCAAACAACTCATAAGAGCAAAGCCAAGTTTTTGTACTCAAATAAATAAATGAGTCTGACTCCGTCATGCAGGCTTCTACCCACTATAGCAGAGTGACGGAGCTATTCCTAAAGGTCGCCATGATTTTCTCACCCATGCCCGTTACATTGGCTTGCTAATTTATGGTAGTCATCATGGTTTCCAGCATCTCCAGAGTCAATCCTCTGGTCAAGAACTATCAAAGAATGGGCCTCCCAGGTGGCCTAAGGGTTAAGTCTCAGTGCTAGCACCATGTAAGCCCAACACAATGGCCTGAGTTCAGTCCCTGGCCAGAGAACTAGCCTGCATATGGTGCAGCAGACCTCTCCTCTCTTGCCTGCTGCTCCCTTTACCAGTATATTTCAGTGAATCCGCTTGCTCTGCTCCCCACTCTGTCTCTGGTGCATCCTCTCAACCCCTGTACCTCTGACCTACACCCCAGTTCTTCTTCACAAACATATATACATAAAATCATT